CTCAAACTCATCAGCTGCTACAATAGATGTGACCGGCAGAGGGCACCATTGAGCCCTGCAGGCGACATTCTGTAGAGGGAGAAGGCACAGGCTGACAGATGTCTATCCTGTTCAGTAGGTGGAAGAAGAGTTCATTAGGACTCAGGCATGGGATGCTGGGGGGTGTTACACATACACACAAGCATCTCCAGCCCCAAATTTACAAAAGCAAAGCTGGTTTATTAAGGAGATGTAAACCCGAACGCCAGTTTCATAGGTGTGCGCAGCCTATTGCATTAGGATGTGCACACAAAAGTACAACCATGCACACACACACAGATATATATATATATATTAGGGCTGAGAAAATTAACGATTCATTTCTCGATTAATCGTTAAACTTTTTGCTCAATTAAATTTCTTTTGATCGCTAATGAAAACACTCATCTCTCCGCCGCCTTCCGGGAGTCCAGTCGGAGATCCGGTGACGTCATGGACATCGACGTCACCGGACTACTTGAAGCAGGGGTGCAGTAATGAGGCCCGGAGCCTGGCAGGTGGTCACCTGCCCAGCTTCCTGATTGGATGGGAAGCTGCAGCCACGCTCCCTCACAGCTTCCCAGGCACCGAGGACTGCGGCTGTTCTGTGAGGAATGTAAGTGGCCAGTGCTGCTGCATTCCCTATCACTGAGCCGGTCATAGAGAGCTTTGTGATCTCTCCATCGGCTCAGTGACTAAAAACATGGTGCCCATTGATGCGGTTTCTGTGTTGCACTTGGAGTGTTTAGAGTGTGCCCAGGCACGCTCGGCACACCCTGTGCGCACGCCTATGGGAAGTTTAATTTTTTCAAGCACTGTTCATCATAAACAACTGGCTTTTTCTTTACAGCAGAACTCTGGGGAAAATTATTCTTAACCGTTGCAGTGGAGCTACCCCGGCACTGCAAGGATTAAGTGCTTGTTTTTGCCTAGGTTAAAAAAATAATAAGTTATACTGATCTGATCCTCAGAACCGGCTTGGTGTTAGTCCAGTCCTATCTCCTCACTTCCCCCTCTGTTGTAGTTGTCTAAGGTCCCTGAGTCATCACATTCTATACAGTGTGCATTGGACATGAGGGATATATATACCATCACAACAGAGAAGGGGGAGAGAGATGGAGGGGACTGGTCTGAGGATCAGATGAGTATAACTGTTATTTTTAATCTAGACAAAAACAAACACTTAGCCCTTACAGAGCGGCGGTAGCCCACTGTAAAAGTTAAGAATAATTTTCCCTGCAGTTCAGCTTTTTTTAAACACTTTCCCCCTTTTATTCATCCTTTGCTGATAACCTGAGGCAGCTTTGCAGGCTGGAGAGGAGCACACTTCTCAGCTGGAGAGCCGGCACAGGTCCACACTGACACAAACCATGGTGAGTCCCAATAATCCTGCAATAGTCCTGGGATCCTGGTGAATGCCAAGTAGCCCAGATCTTGCTAGATGATGCTACTGCATTGTGATGTAGTATCGGCAAGATTTGGGCTACATGGCATTCCCTGGGAATTTGAATTGGGACATCACTCCCTGCAGTACGTAAATTGAGGAAAGGAAAGAATATTAACTAACACCCCCCTTTTAAAGTGTGTGTGTTTTTTTGTTTTTTTTTGCAGTGCTCTATGAAGGAGGAGGTTAACAGATTGCATTCATAATTGATAAATTACAGATTTGGTAAGCATTAAAACCCAAAACAATGTAGACAGGACTATTAGGGTTCAACGGCAATCAGACTTGTATATAAAAATGTAAAGCCATATTTTATTGATGCAGATATAAAATGACAATGTATACATTAAAAATCAATCAGCCCATGTACAGAGTAAACTTGTGATCAAATCTTCCATAATAAGAGAAGATCGCGTTGCACTCCTTACCGGATATCCCAATAGCTGGGGAGAGTGCTTTTAATAACTGCAGATGGCACCTCTGTATACATACACTGTTGTGAAGAATGTCACCAGCACATCGAAAAATCCTTTCAGGATCACCAAATGTTAATTTTATTGCACAGTTGCCAAATGAAAACAAGTGCTTTCAGGGGCCGCGCAGGGTCCCTGCATCAGGCTTAACATTGACCATCGTCTGCTGGTGACATTCTTCACAACCAATCATTTATAAGTTCCCATATACAGGTGTCCTATTATCACCTTTCAATACAGCTGTCACCAGCACACGGAGACTCTCAAGTCAGTGCAAATCCATTTATTAATAGATTTCACTCAGAAAATCAAGCGCTTTCGCGGCCACACAGGGCCCCTTCATCAGGCTCAGAGCCTGATGAAGGGGACCCTGTGTGGCCGCGAAAGCGCTTGATTTTCTGAGTGACATCTATTAATAAATGGATTTGCACTGACTTGAGAGTCTTCATGTGCTGGTGACATCTGTATTCTAAGTTGTTCTATGTGCGGTACCATCCGCGGTCATTTCGAGCACCCATCAATACCTTGGGATTTCCGGTAAGGAGTGCTACAGGATCTATGGACATTTGTACTATTATCACCTTTGTCCCCCTTGTATTACCAGGTATTCGAACGTTCACAGAAAAATGATGGTAAGCATATTAGTTCTCATGTTTCACACTATTCTACTTCCTCAAGAGGTCTGGGATGAATTTAAGAAATACTATGAAGAAGACAAAATACTGAATGTACTGTATAAATAGACCACAACTCAGTCCAATTTGACTTACATAGACTGAATGTCTAGAAGAAGAAATACAGTAGCTGTCAGGCAAAATAATCATCTTCAGGGGGTAGATCATAGGGGTTATAATGACAGGAAAACAGGAAACATCTAAGTGTTAATAATTTATAATATTAATGCTATTTGTAGTCAGAAAGGGCTAATCTTGCTTTTTATTGCCTGATACCAATGTGTTACCCCTTCACTGTCATATGCAAAATGTTAATCCTTCCTTTCCATTACATTTCATAATATACTAACTTGACACAAGTGACATTTCATTAAGCTCTATGTGCTCACCGCATTGCAACGTGGTTGTACCAGGTTTCACTGCGGTGCGCTTAAAAAAGGCTTTGTGGGGCATACCTTTAAGAGCAAATTGCCTTGTTTGGGCTTTTGGTAAAAAAAAGCCAGATGGTGTGGTGCTCTATATGCCGGGTAGAGAATAATGATGAGGCTGGGTTTAGTGAGAATCCAGTTCCTCTGAGTTTGCCTGAGCCCACTCAAAAACCTGGCCACTGCCCTTTCCTCAAGACCCAATCAGTTGTGGGAATGAACATTCTCTGCCCGCAGCTATACATCCCAAAGTGGCAGGGAATGCTCCAACTGCCACCACAGATTGGGTTGGGAGGAGGGGTGGCGGTCAAAATTTTGAATTTGGCATACTCAGGTGAACTGCGCCTCATCGCTAGTAGAAAGCATGTGGAAATCTTCTACAATAACCAAACAAACAAACATTAAAACTCTGACAATTTCAAAGCTTTCTCAACTCTATACACATCATAATTAAAAGTGAAGTATTGACAGGGTAAAATGTACCCTCCTCAATAATTAGAGCCGGTGTGTGACACTGCAGGTGTCACATGCTGGCTCTATAGATCGATTGCTGAACGATCACAATCCACTGATCGCTCAGCTCATGGTCTTCTCCATGCAGAAAGCCATGACTGCCAGTCACTGTTTCCCGCAGGGATTCCCCCCTCCCGTCTCTTTATTCCACCAGCGCTTATTGGAGGGACAGACAGGGGAGGGGGCATGCACAGCTGGCTCTGGCTCTAGGGAGCCAGCTGTTAATGAGGTTGGATCCTGACAATATTGTTGGGATCTTTCCCAGCTGCAGCGTGGCTCTGGGTTGTTAGCATATAGTGGACAATAGCTTGCTAGATGATGATTTTTGCTCACAGGAGTGCATTAGTACATGTACTCCTGTGACCCAAAACAGAATTAAAGCCAAAAAAAGTTTGGCTTTAGTTCTTTTTAAAAATGTTTTAGCTGGAGCTCAATTTTAAAAGGGAACTATGGGGTAAGTGTTTTTTCCCCATAGTACTCTTTAGGATCACTTAGAGGACATATACTAACCTCCTCCCATGACCCAAAGCTCAGTATATAGTGAGCTATTGCCCGCTATATACTGAGAGCGCTGCAGCCGGGACGGATCCCGACATTAATGTTATGATCCACCCAGCTGCGTGAGTGTCAGCGGGCTCTGCCTATCTATCTGTGTCTGCCCCTCTCCCATTTGTTCCTCCACTCTGCACTGGAGGATCGGGGAATCCCTACGGGGAGCAGTGACTGACAGTCACCGCTCATTGCAGGGAGACAATCGGGAAGTGAGCGGACGGCTGCTTGTTTCTGCTCACTTCCCGATCAAATGAGCCGACCTGTAACAGCTTCTTGGTTGGCTCTAACTATGAGGATGAGTGGAAATCACTCACCTCATAGTTCTCCTTTAATTGCGCCCCCCTGTGATCACAATACTTTCAATAGCTTATTAATAAGTAGCACAGATTTAAAAGGCTCACTCATCTCTACCCATTTACCTGGGTTTTAATGTATTTTTATCGTGGTTTTGGTATTAATACTGTCAAAAGGATATGCCAGTTCAAACACCAGAGACATTTTTTTTTTAGAAAAAAAGCACAATAAAAATTATATACAGAGTTTTGAATAAAACATGCACATCTGTCATTTAGGATGTACCCTTTACTTAATGTATTGC